AAAGCATGAAACGCTTCAGGAGTTTGCAATGACCTACCTATTACGCTCTTGGCAAAGCTTGCCCTCTTGAGTGTGGCCAGTCCAAGGTCCCCGATCTTCACACTTCCTGTGGGGCCCGTGATGAAGATATTGTCACATTTCAAGTCCCTGTGAATGATGGGAGGGGTGCGCGTGTGCAGAAAGTGAAGTCCTTTAAGGATCTGACGACTCCACCTCTGTAGGAGCTTTGGTTTCATCTCTTTGAAACGCTTTAGATACCTAAGAAATTTGGATGTTAAAATCCTTTTCACCTCAGCACCAAAAAAGGGACAATTAAAGGGACAGTCAACCCAAAAATTTACATTCTGTTATCATTTATCACCCTCATGCCATTGCAAACTTGTATGACTTTCGATCTTCTGTGGAATATAATAAAGAATGTTGGTAAGCAAACGGTTTCGGGTCCCACTGACTTTCATAGTATGGACTAAAAATACTATGGAAGTCAACGGGGCCTGAAACTCTATTTTAAAGGGGTGGCTGATCAGCTTTTTTTGAAAGCTTGATTGTGTGTATGGGGTGCAGTGTAACATGTGTTCATGCTTCGTTTTTTTTTAAACGCATTATTTTCACATATTTTACCTTTATTCTACACCGCTGTTTCCATTCTTGTCAAAACGGTCTGTTGAGTTCCTGGTTCTGTGAAGCCCCTCCCTCAGAAATACGCAATGTGCTCTGATTGGTTAGCGGGCTCAGTGTGTTTGTGATTTGCTAACCGCCGAGTGCACGTTGTCCAGAATTGTCACGCCCCCTTACCATTACGGGTATTTGCATGTTCCCGGGGGTGGGGTTTATGTAAACATCAGGGTTAGTGATGTCACAAACCCAGGAAGAAGCTCGTTGTAGTCCCTACCAGACGTTTTTTGTAGTCTTTAAACAGCGATTTCTTTAAAAGAAAATATCTACCTTTGCATTGAACTCTGAGCATCGTAACTTTGCAGACGTTGTTTACGCTCTAACAGCAACAACACACACTAACTAAAGTTCAAAAAGTGAAATCATAATCAACCACCCCTTTAAATAATATCTTTATTGGTATCCCTTTAATGTGATCTATGTGATTCTGAGATGCAGGACAAACTCACGTTTTGAGGGTGCCAGAGGTCATGAGCTCAGTGACCAGAAGGATGCACTTGTGACCTTTCACAGTGGACTTCCAGGAGTCGTAAAAGCGCACAATGTTTGGGTGCTGAAGACCCTTGAGCATCTCAACCTCTTCGCTGAAGCGCTGGCGCTCCACTTTGGTCAGTTTGCGAGTCTGAAGAGAAAAAAGAAAAAAAAGATTTTGAAGGAGAAACAAAAATATTAAGATTCTGAAGTGTGCAACAAGTGGACACTTTGCGGAAAGCTGGGGAAAACTGGGATGACTGAGAACTTTCAATGGCTTTCAATGAGCTCTTAAACAAAAACTAAGAAACAAATAAACCTATGGCAAGACACTATAGGCAAAACAATAGTTTTTTCAGAGTGATCTATGTGATTCTGAGATGCAGGACAAACTCACGTTTTGAGGGTGCCAGAGGTCATGAGCTCAGTGACCAGAAGGATGCACTTGTGACCTTTCACAGTGGACTTCCAGGAGTCGTAAAAGCGCACAATGTTTGGGTGCTGAAGACCCTTGAGCATCTCAACCTCTTCGCTGAAGCGCTGGCGCTCCACTTTGGTCAGTTTGCGAGTCTGAAGAGAAAAAAGAAAAAAAAGATTTTGAAGGAGAAACAAAAATATTAAGATTCTGAAGTGTGCAACAAGTGGACACTTTGCGCAAAGCTGGGGAAAACTGGGATGACTGAGAACTTTCAATGGCTTTCAATGAGCTCTTAAACAAAAACTAAGAAACAAATAAACCTATGGCAAGACACTAGGCAAAACAATTGTTTTTTCAGGCACTGGTCAAATTTTTTGATTTTGGACTATTTTGATTCCACAACATGTCGTCTATCAGACTAGTGGAAAGAAAACATCCAAAATACACATTTAAGTGTTTATATTATTACACTTTATCTATTTGCATCTTCAATTACAACACATATTATTAAAGGCCATGAGTTTTTTCTCATACACTGAGCCAGAACTCTGCATTTTCAGCAGCACTTACATAAACCAAACGAGTTTTATTCCTATCTATATTCTGAAGGTTTGTACAGAGGGGTTGTTCATATAACATTTGCACGGTTTATATAACTTTTATTCATAATGTGGTGGGAAAATATTTGTTTTCTAGCTGTTGACAGTATTTTCTGATTTATGAACAAGAATATTGAACCTGGATTTTTCCACTGTTCATACTTCTGTTCTATACATTTATGTAAATGAGTGCATATTTAATTAGTTAATTGGACCATAACATTTCAGAAAACTTGTAATACAAACCACTTGTCTTATTGTACTGTGATGAATGAACCAGTGACAGTATGGTGATATCTATCTTACACCATGTTCACCTGTAGTGTCTTGCTTTAGTTTAGGTTTTAAATGACATGTTCTTATGACGTACATTCGCCCTCAATAAGCAGCATGATTCACTGCTTATTCTGGCAGATAACAGCCTGTAATTAGTACTCAAAAAACCATTAAAACAGATAAGAACCAGTAAGACGCTTGCAACCGCAAGAATTTCACCATTTACTGTACATGAAACACCCTAACCTAATCATATTTTTCCGCTGTCTCATAATTACATCCCATTCTAAACATCGTTTTTTCCGAAAATCTTTAGCAACTGGACTACAGACGAGCAATTACTTGGCAACAAGGCCATTTCTGTCCTCTGGTGGGTATGAAAGGCTTGATTTAGCAGTCCTGGGCCTCTCAGCCGTGTGAGGAGGGTGGAAACTCCTCAGAGACAGCAGCTCAAGAACCATGAATCCTATATTCAATGAGTTCTGGGAAAAGTGGTGTGTGTTTATGTCTCGAGGGACAGAGGGAGGCCGAGCTCTACATTTAACACAGTATTTGAAGATGTTGCTCATAAGATTCCTTAGGAGAAATGACAACAGACACAAATTTGGTGAATGACACATGAGAGTGTCCAAGGTAATGAAGAAAACAAATCTTTATAAAATCTGGTTTAAAACACGTGTCAAGTTCTTAGAAATGTGGTCTTTGTATTCATGTACAGGTAGGTTGCATTTGGTTTTGAAAACTTTCATGCCATTTTCAAAAAAAACTGAACGACTCTTAAAATGTGGTTATTTTTTTTTCAAAAAGGTTCTTAAAGGGATTTGCAAAAGTACTTTCTATAATAGCACTTGATTTGGCAGACTTTTTTTTTAATTATTATTAAGATTTATTTTAACATTTTAACAAAACTCTTTCATAGTTTTTTAAGGAAAAATAATAAAGATTATGCCCAACTACTTTTTTTCAAAAACATTCTTCATTTAATAAGAGCTTTTTTTGTCTTCATATTAGGACAGTTGCATCACCCTGATATCATTTACTTTTTGTCCCCCAAATATCTTAAAATATTTGAATTCAAATGTGTTAACAAATGCAAAACTGATATAAAAATGCATTTGTTGATGCAACCGTGTCATTTGAACTTCCTTACATGCAGGTTTGAACTGTTTTGTTGAAGCAGTTTCACGGGATTCGTACCGAAGCTCTTCACCACTCAAGTGCAAAATTATACTGCGTTGAGCAAATAAACCTACTAAAAATGAAAACACATACATATGAAACTGGATATGTGACGCTAACATTCTAAAGTATCATTTTTGAGATCTCACAGCATGTTAAAACTGTTTTGAATATATAACATAATATTCCTCAAGTAATTGTGAGAAAATTTGGTTTTATTAATCGAAATTGTGGACCTGTAAATCACACTTTGTGTGAAACGGAATAAAAGTTGTTGGGAGTTTTACTGCCTCTAGTGTTCATTTCAACTGGAAACTGCAGCGATTCGTATGTATAGGTACGTTTTTTTCAGTTTTGCAGAAATGTATTTAGAGGCACGCATTTCGAATGAGCCTATGTTGCAAAAACAGTATGTGAAAAGAGTAGTATAGGCAAAATAACAGTATTTATAGAATAGCACGAAAAAAGTACCCAGATTACTTTGTACTTAATTATATACTACTTAATATCATGACATTTTGCATTGCAATTGGTTTAGTGAATGATTCAATGACTCATTCATAAAGATAATCACTTGCATCAAAAATAGTTTCCGTAAGAAGCCCATCACAGTTTATCATAATGACTTTTATTAATAAATGTAACTATTCAAAACGTGTGTCTGTATTGGTGTATTCACTGATGCTGCATTTTAGATATAAAGTAATAATTAAAGGCTGTGTTACAGAGATTATACCACGGTTAACAATGTTTTAGTTAATCAGTGGTTACATTTCTGTAACACACAGCCTCTTGTGGCTCATTGCTTCATTTGAACAGCTTGTTTGTAAAACAGTTATTTATTTCATGACTGGGTGATTTAGTTAAAGGGTTAGTTCATCCAAAAATGAAAATTAGACTGTGTTTTACTCACCCTCGAGGCATCCTAGGTGTGTATGACTTTCTTCTTTCAGACGAATCCAGTCGGAGTTATATAAAAAATTGTCCTGGCTATTCCAAGCTCTATCATTGCAGTCAGCGGGTGTTGCAGTTGAACAGTCCACAAGTCGTCAAATAAAGCGCGCGCATCCATAATAAAACGTACCTCACACGGCTCCGGGGGGTGAATAAAGGCCTCCTGTAGCGAATCCATGCGTTTTTGTAAGAAAAATATCCATATTTCAAACATAATAAACACTTTTCTCTCACTTCAGTTATCTTTCATACATGGAAGCCGTTCCGGCGGATGACGCAGCACGTATGCACAGCGTGCGCCTCTGAGATATGCTAGTCTCGCGAGTTTGTTTACAGGAGCAAAGGAAGCAAAGTTTTCTTACTTTAGCAAAGGAAAACCAGTCTCCTCTTGGTTTATATCCTCCGACATTTTTCTTTGTAAATCCTCGGTTTGTACTTCTAATTCGTGACCGGCGTCACTAATCACGCATGCCGACGTCATACGTCATCCGCCGGAATGGCTTCCGCGTACCACAGTTAGATGAAGTGAAAGAAAAGTGTTTATTAAGTTTGAAATATGGATATTTTTCTTACAAAAACACATGGATTCGCTACAGGAGGCCTTTATTCACCCCCCGGAGCCGTGTGCGGCACGTTTTATTATGGATGCGCACGTTTTATTTGACGACTTGTGGACTGTTCAACTGCAACACCCGCTGACTGCAATCATAGAGCTTGGAATAGCCAAGACAATTTTTTTATATGAAAGTCATATACACCTAGGATGCTTCGAGGGTGAGTAAAACACAAGCTAATTTTAATTTTTGGGTGAACTAACCCTTTAAGGTGTAGAGTTGTAGTAAAGGGTTAAAAATGAACATCCTGGGACTTGCACTGTTAAAACACGTTAGAGCTGCATGATTGAAACATGGTGGGCTTAAACGGAAGAAATCCTGGAGCTTGAGTTCAGGACAGCCCGAGGCACAGCGAGCTAGTAATCACAAAATGACACATAACAACCTCTACAGGCTTATCATGATTGAAGGAAGGAACCTAAAGGCTTGTCAGGGAATCAGCCATATGGTAGTGCTTTTGTGCTTGACGCATCGGTGGGACAAAAAAGAGAGTATAAGCATATGGGACAGCTATTGTGAAAAAAGCTTTGCTGTGTTTTTTGTCATTGAATGCATCATTATTGTGTGGTACTGTAGAGATTTGAAATACAGAAGCTGATTTTAGTTGCCACAGATTGACCAAACTGCACGTAACACACCCAACACATTTAAGTTGGTTATTATATACTAGATAAAATGCATATTTCAAAATACTGTCTAACACCGTGTCTACACTGGATGCGACCATTCGCGTGCAGAGTAGACATGGTGTTAGACAGTATTTTGAAATGTGCATTTTATCTAGTATATATTAACCATCTTAAATTCTAATAAGTTTTTGAAAGTTCCTAAGTGCTATTCTTGAAAAAATCTAGACTAATGAAGTTAAGACATCTTAAGACACCTTTCTTTTTTTTCTTCTTAAGAATAAAATGACAGGCATCCGTGTTATATATGTTTAAAGCACATACAATAACACATACAGCGTTTTTAAGATACTTACTACGATTTTAAAAACATTTTTTCAAGAATTTACATCGTCTTGAAGAACAATGGAGAAAATACATATAAGAACATTCTTCAGAAGAAATATTTTGGGAATACAAAACATTACATTTTTTTCTTAAGTTAGAAGCTAAGAAGAAAATTACAGTTAAGAAGAATTTTATTCTTAATAGAATAGTTCACCCAAAATTGAAAAATGAAATGGAAATAGCTCACCAATGGATCCTCTGCAGTGAATGGATGCCACATTAATGATGAATTTGTTCCTTACAAACACACAGCTTTTGGCTTCACAAGACATTATTTGCTGGACTGGAGTGGTGTGGATTACTGGATGTTTTTATCAGCTGTTTGGACTCTCATTCTGACGGCACCCATTCACTGCAGAGGAGCCATTGGTGAACAAGTGATGCAATGCTACATTTCCCCAAATCTGATGAAGAAACTCATCTAGATATTGGATGGCCTGAGGGTGACTACATTTTCCATTTTGGGTAAACTACTCCTTAAATATTGCATGCAAGTGTGAAACATGGTGCCTTGTTATTGATGCCAACAAATTCTGCATTCTTTGACGATCTAAATCTATTTTTTTCTTGGCATGAAGTGTATGTAAATGGCTCTGCGATGGAGATCTCAATAACCTTTCGCTCAACTCTGGAACAGTGTGTTTCCAATGAAACAATGTAGGCCAATGTTGTCTTGAAGACTCTATCATCATATCAGCTAGTCAAATTACGTGATAACCCTCCGTCGATGTGACTTGATGATAAATATGTTCTTGATGAAAAGCAGACAAACACATTTGGTGAGAACATTTTCATGAATTTTTCATGAATCCTTTGGCATTCATGCAAATCATGCGTATGAAGTGTAATGTTTTTATTTTGATATTTTGTGCCATTCTTCAATTTTAATATTATTAAATAAATAGCAACTAACAATTGGTTTAATACTTAAATCCTGGGTGCTTTTATATCTGTTTGTCATTGAAAGATATGCTTATGTAAGTTTTTGGATGCCATTGTACAAATTTCCTCATTGTGTTATTATACGCCTGAATGTTTAGAAGAACAAATGTACAGAAACACATGTGCGTTCAATAAGAGCACACCGCTGGGGGTTGAGAGCAGTATGGGCCAGCAGTTTCAGCGCTGGTTAACTCCAAACTGCCCAGACCAGAATCCTGAACTCATGCCAAACCACATCTATTCATTCCAAGGACCTCTAAGCCAGTGGCAAATCCAATGCAACATTAGAAAAACAGTTAGAGAGACTGCAAGGAAATTACTGTCATTTTTCAAACTTCGAATCCCAAAAACTGTTAGCAGAGCATAGTAAATCTCTGTTATTAGTGGTGTTTGCAAATGAAAGCCTCACTAGGCGAGCCATCGAAACACCAGATTTAGACAAACAGACGATATAAAAATCTCAATGACCACTCACCAACTCAAGCTGACATTAAACGCATGAGGTGAACATCACTCATGTCTCTGGCCTCCACCAGCCGATGGAATAAACAGATCAGACTTATAACCATAAACACATGCATACTGCATCAGGTTTGTAAATGACACTGTGCCCATTGCAGACAATGAACGGCTCTCTGTTGAGACCTTTTGACATACAAACCCCAAGTTACGTAAAATCATATTCTGCCTGAATCCAATTACAAAGTTAAAGTCATGTAGAAAGAGTTCTCATTATGAAAGTTTCAAAACATTGAAACCTGAAGGGTACTTGACATTTTGTTCAATTACAACTTTGGTCCAAAAAGTATGGAAACATCAACAAATGTTCTTTTATCCCAGCAAAGCAGTAAACAGCATTGGATGAAGATGACAACGATGCCGGTCTGGAGCTGGTAAGAAAGGAAAGAGATTATAATGAAGAGGAATACACACCACTCCAGGGGCCAACACTAATTCTGCATTAAATACATGGCAAAAAACACCACGCTTCATTTTCCTGGCATTTTAAGTTGGAGTGAACATTATGAATTTGTTGAAAAGTTTTTACAAGCGTCTAAAATACTGTTATGTAAATATTAAATAATAACTAGTGCTGTGCTGCATATTTCTCACCCTGTCCTCAAGCTGCCATGAGTTAAAGTGTAGTTTGCCCTCACGCGCTGCAGCAGATTCGTTACATAACTGTTTATAACAATAGAACAATAATAAATGAACACTGTGAACTTCTAATTAAGCCATGTGCAAATGCAAGTCAGTAAAATAACATAATAGTTTTACACACATTATATAATATTATAAAAGTGATAGCACTTAGTCCAAAAGAAAAGAAGAGAATTCTTAGCCGACTTCTTAGCCGAAATACACTTTCTTTTAATCAATTAGGGTTACATATTGTATACTGAAATATTTTTATATCACTTTCAACAAGTTTAAATTGAATGTATCCGAGTAAAATTAATAAAGTATTTTTCTTACACTTTGAATACATGTGAGTGTACTTTGTAACATGTACACTACACATGTATAACTTATAAATGAAAAGATGCATTTTTACTATAAACGTCACATATTTTTAATCGATTTTCAGCCGGCTCGGGTGCATCTTTACATCCCTAGTATTATTTTTTTTCTAATTAATTATTAATCAGCTTTTTTCTGCATTACAATCTGAGGGCAGCTTAACCAACCTGACATTTTGACTTTATGTCCCCAAAAACATCTAAATGAATTTTAATTTGGAAACATGCTCATCATAGAGCTGTCATTTTAATGAAAAATGAGTGTGACATCATTGACCCTCTTGTTACTACCACTACCAGGTCATTTGCACGCCCATCATTCACTAAATTCTACACATACCGCCCTTGCAAGTTCATTTATCAAGTGGCTAAAATGTCTGGATCTACTGATAGCAGAATGTTTTTGTTGTAGTCTCTCTCTCCAAGCATTCAGCTCTGCATAACTGCTAGATCCCACATTGTTCACGTGTTTTGGGACTTGTACTTGTCTGACTCTCCCGTCAAACTTATATTGGGGTCTGGTCATGGGGGTCTGCAGGCATGTGTGTGATTAAAGCCAGACTGAAAATGTCTTGGCTCAGCTCCACATGGTGTTACTGTTACATAAGCAGTGTTGATGTTCTAGTGCTCCACATGGGGAGGAACCACCTGTCAGCACCTTCATTAGGACGAACACGAGCCACCAGAATAATTTAATGCTAGAAGACAAATCGAAGAATGAACTGGATCCTTTTGAACAAAATCAGGCCAAAGCGCTGCTCGCTTGGAGTTAGTTTTGAAAGTTTGAAACAGCTTGCCAAAGCCAACTTTTCCAGAAAACTGCTTCAGCTGGTAAACACTCTCAAATTATCATTGGTCAATGGCAATTATGTAATAAGAAGGTGTGGCCTACTTTGACATGGAAATCTTCTCCAACTCATTTCTTCAGTTCAGTCTGTCGAGGTCAGATGAATAGAAGCTTGTTTCCACCACAGGATAACATTTTTTTTTAAAAAGGTAATTTTGACTTTTTATCTCACAATTCTGACTTTTCCCCTCACAATTCTGAATTATGAAGTCAGAATTACAAGATATAAACGCAGGACTGTGTGATATAAATGCAGAATCATGAGATATAAACTCACAATTGCAAGAAAAAAGTCAGAATTGTGATATAAGTCACATTGATCTTATTTATTTTTATTCCATGGACAATAAAACAAAACTGAATTGCTATAAACTCGGAATTCTGAGGACAAAATTCAGAATTGCAACATGCTAATTTAGAATTGTGAGAAAGTCAGAATTCTTGAGCTTACATCTCGTGATTTTAAAAAGAAGAGTCAGAACTGTGAGATATAAACTTTGAATTGTGAAATAAAAAGTCGCAAAGTTTTTATTTTTTATTCCATGGTGGAAACAAGCTTCCATAAAAACATTCATGACTAAAAACATAAGTTTTTTTTATGTTTAGTACTGTAAAGTTGCTTTCTTCATAGCATGATTGGAGTGCAAAGCTCATGCAAATATACAAATTGCTATGATCAGATGCTTTCTTACAGGCGGAACAATATACTAATGTGTTAAAAGTAAATAGATCAGATAGAGGAGGATGCTTTTTCCAATAGGAAACTATTGGCAACACAGCCTGAGGTGTGAAAAAAGACACAATTATAGGTTAAATATTTCCCAACTTCCACAAACCGAGGAAAAAAATACACTTCTAGTCTGCCTCATGGATTACTGTGAAAGTGAGCTTCATCTGTGATAATGAATAACCTTTTGTGCAAGAGATAGTAGCTGTGTTTGTATTTTATTGTGTGATAATGTTATCTTTGTTCTTCAAGACCGCATCGATATCAGCAGTAACAGGCTGAGTCATGTTTGTGATTCCTCTCCAAAATAAAGAGACCACTCATATTGATCTCACTGCGTCTCTGCTCTGCGCTCACTTACACACGAGCCCTGAACTGCAAAGACACACTACATGAGAATGCATGTCCGGTCATGAGTGTTCGAAGGCGTTGTTAAGGTCACAGTCTAATGTGGGAACACACCTGTAGGCAGCAAACTGCCCATAGACACACAGCGGTGCATTTCATCAATCACATGACAGCTGGAATCCACATATGACAGTGATGAAGATTCAACTAAAGCAGCTGGAAGACAAATTAGAGCAGGAAAGCTGTGACCGTAGAACTATTCTCTCTCTCTCGCACCCTCAAGCCATCCTAGGTGTATATGACTTTCTTCTTTCAGACGAATACAATCAGAGTTATATTAAAAAATGTCCCGGCTCTTCCAAGCTTTATAATGGCAGTGAATGGGTGGTAATATTCAATAGTCCAATAGAAGTCCAATAAACTGCGTCCATCCATCATAAAAAGTGCTCCACACGGCTCCAGGGGGGTTAATAAAGGCCTTCTGAAGCGAATCGATGCGTTTGTGTAAGAAAAAGATCCTTATTTAAAACTTTATAAACTGTAATCTCTCATGTAATCTAACTGTCGTATGCACGTTCACGAGAGACAGTGGATGACGTTGGCATAGCGTAAGCTCTGGTAAGAATATGCTAGTCTCGCGAGAACCAAGTTTTGTTTACAGCTAGGGGTGTGCGATATCACGATTTTTGCTTTTGAAGAAACATCGTAGTATCGCACTACAACGCACATTCTATCAGTTGCAGTCTCAATATACTGTACAACGCCACATACATTCACATCAAATGTTAACTTAGCGGTAAATTTACACTCACGGGGCACTGCACTTATTCACGATCAGGAAAGTACATTATTTGCATGCAAGCCTTGCCGGTTAAACATTTCATTGGCGTGCTGAAAAGCGCTTTTTCTGAGCTCGTACACCTGAAGCGCGCGCACACTAAAAAGCCTGTAAAACAGCGCCTGATACTGGACTAAGTTATCTTTCGCATCTGATTGTGCTAATACGGTCAAAAACACAAAAGGTTTAAATATAAACACAGTTGATTATGTCTACAGTGAAAGTAAGCAGTTGAGAGAAAAACAGATGCATGCCTGGATATTAGATGCTTGCAGGTCTTAAAGTGACAGCAGACTAATAGTACTAAACATGCTGCCGCTTGTCATTAAAGGAGTAGTTCACCCAAACATTAAAATGTTGTCATTATTTAATCCCTCTCATGTTGTCCCAAACCTGTATTAATTTCTTTCTTGTGCTGAACACACACACACATTTTAGCAAATGGCTGCAATATAACAAAGAGTGAAAAATTTAAGGGGGTCTGAATACTTTCCGTACCCACTGTATATTTTAAAGAATGTGGGTAACAAACAGTTGCTGGTCCCCATTGACTTTGATAGTAGGAAAGAATAAATACTATGGAAGACACTGGGAACCAGCAACTGTTTGGTTACCCACAATCTTCAAAATAATTTTTACTTTCAACAGAAGAAAGAAACTCATTCAGGTTTAAAACAACTTGAGAGTGAGTAAATGAATTTTTTTTCTCTCAGAATTTTCATTTTTGTGTGAACTATCCCTTTAATGTTAATAAAACAACAAAACGCAAAGAGAAAAATCACTCACTGCTCTTGACTGAAGAACTTTAAAACAGTCGCTTTAATAAAAATCAATGTAAAATTTATACAGTGAAGTGTATATAGTGTTTTATTTTATACATGTTAATTCAATTTCTTTAATGCTAAATGCTAAATCAGTGGTGGACAGTAACAAAGTAGTTTTACTTCGTTACTGTACTGTACTAAATTTTTCAAGTATCTGTACTTTACTGGAGTAGTTTTATTTTGAGTAACTTTTACTTTCACTTCACTACATTCCAAAGCATAAGATCGTACTTTTTACTTCACTACATTTCATAAAGCATTTCGTTATTCCTTATAATATATCACGTGCTCCGAGACGCAGAAGCGGTGTCTGATTCAAGAACGAACTGATTCTTTTCAATGAACCCGTTAAATCGGTTCGCAAATCGCACCAAACGATTAATTCACGAATTGGAATGATCCGATTGCAGCTGTTCTCGAGTCGACAACTCACTGATTCAAATGATCCGTTTAGTGTGAGTCTCCAGTGAACTGAACTCACAAGTAAGAACCGGGAGCGTTTGATGTTGTTAAAAGTAAGTTACTAATGTCAAATTTTAGTACTAATTATTGTAACTGAAAATCATATTTAGGTCAAA